CATTATAAAGAGAAGAGCCTCTCATTATGTGAATAGACAAAAATTTTATAATATTTATAATTAATCAACAAGCATGTGGAATAATTTTATAAAATTATATATTTTTTTAATTTTAATATCTTTCAATATAAATAATACTTCAATAGTAATTATTTATAATATACATTTTTATTATTAACTATTACTAATCCTTATATATTATACATTAACAATCTATAAGTTATACATTTGTTTGCGAAAAAAAGATTTTCTGTCAAATAATGACAGAACTAACAATTTATGCACATATAAAACGATAAAATAAAAATCTCATCATCGATATTACTAATATAAATTTCTTTGGATTTACAATAATGATTTTAATAAAAAATTAATTTAAAATAATGAGTTAGGTAAATTATAGAAACAAATACTTTGACAGTTTGAAGTATTCAAGCATATATTAACTGTGAATGTTAGTTGGTGTTCTTAGAAGATCTAATACAATAATTTTGTAGATATGACCAATATTGGTATAGTTTACAGTTGTACTGTAAACCATAATACTCATACAAATCTAAAATAGCCAAATAATCTACTTTAGACTGTTATGACTACATATGACTATATCATAATTAAAAAGGTAAAAACTTCCAAGAAAAAAATGTTCATATGAGTGGAAACTTAATACAATCATACAAAAATAAATTTATGAATCATAAATGTGGTCGATCTTCAGAAACCAGAATAGTTAAATGTAGTTCGTATGTATGTCACATCTAAAAAATTAAATAATTATAAAATACATATTATTACTTCCGAATTTATGTCTTGTCTGTCGAACATAACGAAAGTCAGTCTTAGTAAACAATCACAACGATTTTATAATTTTAAATGGATACAAAAAGTTTGTTAACAACTTATAATATTAAGTACATATATTTATTTTTATTTATAATATAATTTTATAAGCTCAAGGTTATAAGTATGACTTATATAAACTCGAAGTAAGGTAAATAATGTATTATATAATTGCAAGCTAAAATAATATAATTAATGAAAAGCAAAATAGAAAATAAACTTTAAGCAATGCAAAATCATAACTATAATTTATTAAATAGTTTTATTTAATTTGAAAATAATGCAAATTAAAACTGGATCAATTCTTCACAGTAAAAAAAATTAATTATGATTGTTTTTTTTTATTTAATAGTCATAAGTTAATTAGAATTATTAATTTACAAAATTAAAATTTAGTTTTTGCTAGGTACCTACTATTTTATTTTATTTGCTTAAATATCAAATTGAAAATAAGTTCTATTTATACATGTACTTAAACGATAAATATCAATGTAGTATATTTATTTTGTCTTCTCATACAAATTATATTTGATATAAAATTAATCTATAGTTACTGTTTAGAAATTTGAAATGCATAAAAATTATTATAAGTTGTTTAAAAATAATATCATGTCATATTAACAAAAAAAATTTGTTTCATTTTAAATTTTTCTTTAGTATGTCTGTTTTATATTCGGTTAAATTATTTCTTAGAAATTTTAATTATTAATGAGAGTGCGTAGTGTTGATTTATTTATATATTATAATCAATAGTGGCGTAATTTCGGGGAGAGTTCCTGGTTCTCAACCCCTCTCCCTCATCAGAAGAAAAAAAAGTTTATAAGTCATAAATTAATTACTACAAAGGTAAGAAAACATTAATTTATATAATTTAGTTTCAAATAACTCTTAATTTATATTTATAATAATAATAGAATAATATAATTATTAATTCATACTTTATATGTATTTTTTGGAAAAATGTACACCCATCAAAAAAAATTTGAAAATACGGCATTGATAAATGATATTTTTAGTTTTGTTTGTTAACACTTGACAATTTAAATCGACAATTAATGATACACCTAAATATTTTTAAAAATTAATTTATATCAAACTTATATTGAGCTTGAATAAATTTGATTGAAGTTGGAGAAACCTAATACATGATGACAGTAGTCATTGTCATTGATAATGAGGAAAATCCTATCGCGATACCACCGATTTATTTATAAATTCTTTCAAGACGCATATGACTCATTGGATAAAAATGTTGGTGTTTGATAAGGAAAACCACCTTAACCCCGTTACAATTTTTTATTATGTATTTTCTTGTTTGTCATTCGACGAATTGTAGGTTACAAAAGGTACCTATTTGTTAATTTAATATTTTCCTTTTAATATCAATAATATTGTCAACAATATGTTGCAACATAATACCATAAATAAAGTGGATATTTATAAACTAAGTACACCATGATATAGGTGATTAAAATAGTTGGTTAATCTACTATCAGGTACCTAGTCTCTATTTAATTAATTATATTTCCAAATACTCGTAAATACAATGTTTTGTCGACAATTTTTATTTTTATTATTTATATTCAATGACATCTTGGAGTAATTTTTTATAGATATGCATTTTTTAATAACTATTTGCAACGTATAATGATTAGTTGATCCAATCGAATAATATCTGTTACAAATGTATTACAGTATAGCTATATCGAATTGTCCTTGTCTAGATACATTATTTATATATGAGAATTGTGCTGTGATATGGTCTTTAAAATTAAATAATACATGTAAATTATTTTAGTTGATAACTGGTTACTAAATTATATTTAGGTACGTGTAAAAAATACGTTTGATACGAAATTAACCTTTAAGCACTTCTATGAATAATAATCGGTTTGATTGTTTATGTGAGTAGAAAATACTAACCACCTACTTATCTGATCACCGAGTTGATCATTATGTGATGATTAGGTATTAGTTAGATATTAGGTACCAATTTCATTCATATTAGAAAGTTAATTAAATTGTGTCAATGCTAGAATCAGGTATTAGGGTTTTATTTAAAAAATAATTTCAAAGCTTACGAATTATAATCTATAGTAAATATATTAATCAAAATCAATACTCATAATTTTATGAATTAATTTCAGAATAATCTTGGACTCATTAAAATCAAGTGTATATTGAAATCATATCTTTTTACAGTTTAAAAATACTAAAATATAAGAAAATAGGTGGATAAATAGTGTATATAATTTACTCAATGTACTACAAATTATTTAAAGGGAAAACATATTTCAAAGAAGATAATTTTAAGAAGTAGTTTTATTAAAATAAATACCTATAATTATGCTAAAAGTATATAATTTGTTAGTTCTAAAAAATAATTATTTATTTATTTTTTTTTTTAACTAAAATAGTGATTGGTGATAGTATTCATAAAGGAATTACTTGTGTTCCTCATATTATATAGAATTGATTTATTTATAAAATATAAACTTAAAAATAAACGTATGTACAGAGACATTTAATAATTAGAGTCGAATTATATATGGTTAATTTTCATGTATAATTAGAAAATTATTACAACAATAGATCATAAAGTTATTACCATCAGATATTTTGACTATTAAATAATAAATAGTTATAGTTCTTTTGTTTTAGTATAAAAGTAGATAAGTACAATTTATATTTCTAATTATTAATTATTATTGTTCCGATTTGTCGAGTGACACCAGAGAGGGGTCTATGTTTCTTCAAGACTTTTGACGAAAATAATTTTTTATTATCATATTTCTTTACAATGTGATGATTGCTAATATGATTCATTTGCTAATACTATTTTTTTTCATAATAAGATATCAAAAATACAATTCTAATGAGAAAACTATCGCTAATACATTTTTATCGGCTATGTATTTGAAAAACACAGAGTGTTAGATGATAAAATTAAATATTCAAAAAGTTGTTGTTTGAATCCGGTTTCGAATTAAAAGTTCATTATCAGATATACATTATCATCATCAGAGTTATGAAGATGTAGCACTAAAAAAATTTAAATGTGCTGGTAAATATTCACTCAAAAATTTTATAATATACAGGTATTAAATATGTTAAAAAAACTAAAAATTTGTTCTAAACATAAAAAAGCTGATTGTTAAGCATACCGATTAAACGAACGAAAAGTACTGCAAAAACTAAACTGACTTAAAAAAAAATTAAAAATTAAATATAAATATTATATTTGCGTTTAAAACATGTGAATTATAATCCAATAACAGTTATCAAACCGGTTCGAAAATGAAATAAAAATTGAAAGTTTCCAATAAATATTTTAAAAAGTTCAAATATATAAAAATAATCAAATAAATTACGTAATAAAATATGTAAAAACGTGGATTTGAAATGCTGTAAATAAATTAGCAGAACTATGAAACACATTTCTGTGAGTTTAGCTCTTACAAGTTCACAGCCTTAGTCGTTACTACATCGGAGTAGAACTCTTAAAATTATATAGTAGTCTTTCCGAGATGACCGTTATTCACTGAACGTGAAATAATCAACGTTACCGATAATGTAGAAAAAACGTCACCATTGGTGTACCTATTTTAAGTACGTAAATGAAATGCGCGCTCAACACTGTACACCTGTGAGACCACAGTTCCAAACGTATTACACAAACGATAGTTACGTGTCCATTGTTCGAAACGATTAGTGAAATATTTGCGGCGAAACGTGTTTATCTCTCTCTCTCTGAGAATCGGCAAATCCAAAACACGGTTTTTTCGCTCGACAATAATAAACTGTGCGTGTGGTGGGTGCAATGGCGGAACTAAGGGGTGGAAAACGGGGGTTCAGAATTATAATTTTTATAATTTTTATAATTATTAAAAACTAATTTGATATTTTTAACTTTGTTAAATTCTGTTATTCGGTTAAAACTCAACAAGTATGATTGTATATTAATTATTTGAAAAAAATTGTCGAGAAGAGAATTTCATTATTGATCCAAGATAGAGCATAATCTTCCCCGGGCGCAAAAATTCCTAGTTCCACCTCTGGGTGGGTGAGGGGGTACGTTCACGGATGTTCGTTACTTTTAAGCGTAACCGGGCGCGGACGCCGGCAGGCGGTGACCGAAAAAACAGCGATCCGAAGGTGGTGAACGCGACTAAAAACCGATTCTTCAACACGTGTGGGCTTCGTTTCACGCGTGACGCGTAATTATGATAATCGTGTGGATCCTACAAGGTCTATGTGTTTGGCAATAACGCTTTCTGCGCGTGACGTCACGGTCGGCAGTGCGGCGAAACGCGGTCGCGTTCAAACGCTTTTGGGCCGTCGTTGACGGCGGACGAGTAGGTGACACTTACGTCTCGCGGGTTTCTGGTGTCGTCCGCGACGGTGGACGTCCCGCTGCAGCAGGATCTGGTGCTGGCGAGCGACCGCTGCGAGTATCCGTCGGTGGCGGACGGCGGTGAATAGTTCCGGATCTGGGGTTGCGTCCCGCGGGCGGCTACGACGGCGACGGTCGAGAACAACAGCGAGCCGCAACATACGACGAACATTGCTGCGACGAACATGGCGCGCGTGGTTCGTGGTGTTGCGTCGTCGAAAGCGTGTGCGGTCGGTATCGTGTCCGTCCTGTCACTGGGACGGCGTCGTGTGACGGCAGCGGCGGCGAAGTAGTATTGCCCACCACCATCCGACCGTGCGAGACGTGTGTTGCATAGTTACGCGCAGGTAAACGCGCGCGCCGTGCAGTACCTCCGACGTTCGTGACTCATCGCGTGCACAAACCCACTTGCCTCCCGTTAAATAACAACAACAACTATAGCACAATTAATGACAACAACACCGTAACACAATGCCGTCGTCGTGATCGTGCGCAAGTGCAATACCCGCGTGCGCATTCCTCCGTCCGATCTGCGTATCCCTCGCGCGAATGGTTATCGAACTACCCTCCCCCTGTCCGGCCGTTCATCTCGTCCCTCGACACCCACCCGACTCCTCTCGCGGGACTCGCCGAACTCACGTTCACTCGACATCCGTCGCGACATTCGACTGCACCCGATGACTCACCCCCGGGGCACGCTCCGCGGCATCCGTAATAGCGCTCTTGCGTCGCGTCGCATCTACCTGCACCCGTCGGACGCATGAATCCGCTTGTTAGTAATAGCCTCTCACCGATTCCGTGTAACGCGTTGTTATGAAATGCCCATGGAAAAGCGGTAAAGAATCGCATACCTCGCGCGCGTCGTCACACGCACGCAATCACTTGTCCGCCTTCCTCCGCAGTGTTTCACGTGTTATTCCACCTTTTTAACGTTTCCGTCTAAAATTCCTCCTACGTCTATGGAATTAGTACGGAGCCCATTTGGTTTTTGTTTCTTTGTTTTTACGCACCTACCGCAATCTCAGGGAATGTGCATTTGTTTTATGTCTTGTAACTTTATGTGTTTTTATTGTTCAACCATTGGGAAACGTCAACTGTGGTATACAGCCGGATTTTAAGTCATAACGTTCGTTGATGATGACGAAGGACCGACGAAAAATAATACGACTAAAAATTTGCTGTAGTTTTAACGTATACGACTGTGAATTGCGTTTATTTTAACCACGGTAGAGATTCCTATTGTGTTGATAACTTAAATTTAAGAGAGAAACTTCCTGTTCAATAAAACTCCATATTGTATATTTTTCTATGAATCTATTATATCTTCTTGAGACTATCTATCTTCGATAGAACAAGAATCCTCTATGTACACATACGTATCGCAAATATCATGAAATACGATATTGCCATATTGTATACTTATTATATATACATGTTTCGTATCATAAGATTTATTTCTTTTTTAAAAATGTTTTCCAATGGATAACTAAGAAGCATATAATTATATATTTTATTGAAATTATAGAAATATATTTAACCATCCTTCTTAAAAATTGGTTCATGTTTGAAGTTTTAAAAACCACATTATCTGTATATAAAATATTAGGAATGGTATTTTGTTGGTTTATAACATTTTTTAAATAATTCAGAAAAAAAAAAAAATACATTCTTACCATATACATCATACGTATAAACATAGTTTATTACTACATCGAAATATTTCTTTGTGCGACAAAAAAAAATTTCTAGTCAGCTGAGGAACTCAGAGTTATAAGATAATATTTAAGTTTTGGATTGTTTGAAGTTCTACAGAATGTACAATTAAACTTAGATGATATACTCAATAAATTTAAATATTATCAATTTTATAGGTTATTGATTCGATAAATTATAATACAATAATAATAATAATAATAATAATAATACAATTATAATACAATGATGGGTTAATCGGGAATCCTTTCGATTTTCTACCTTTTATTACTAACCCCTATTTTATGGGGATGATACATGATTGTGCAGTTCTACAATTTTTTTAACAGGTTTGTGCATACCTATATTGAAAAAAATTATTCAAACGTATTTTTGACGTACTAAAGTTAGTTCATTTTTACTCACAATTTATTCCGATTTACAAAAGTAGTTTATGTATCCATATATTATACGGTATGATCATGATAATTCCAATATTTTATTAAAACCAAAACAAATATTACTATTAAATAAAACAGCATACCTGTTATCTACAGTTTAGTGAATAAATATAATAATTTATATAATATTAATCATTATATTGCGACGTCTGGGTTCCTCTCGCAGATTCCGAGCGTTGTATGATGGATCCGTAGAGGGAGGGTTACCAACCTAGACAATTCGTCGGAGTTCATAGGATTTTTAAAAGAAAACGTAATGAAGAAAAGAAAAAGTAGAAAATTAGTTTTTTTTTATTACTTTGGTGCCGAGAAAGCTTCCGGGCGTAAAACTCGGACAAAAAAAGAAAACAAGACATATTAACCAATACAGTAATAAAAAATATTTTATGACATTGGTGTACAACACCGTGCAACAGCACCTCTTATACATAAATAATTCAAATAACAAAATACTCGTCCATAGGACACATATCAATGGAAAAAGGAAAAATAAATACAAGAAGATATTATGTATACCGGCCAGGGGCGTATTTAGTATTACCATTGACCGTATTTTATGGTTAGATTAGGTTAGGTTATGGTTAGGTTTCAGCAAATTGTAAACTTATTTACAGTATAATTTAAATAAACGTTGTATACAACTTGTAGATTTTACATATACTGTCTTAATTTAATCATTTATATAAATACATGGTATTTATTAATGTAATACGGGGGGAGGACAGAGCCCCCCAATTACCATGAGTTAATTAAATTTTAAATCACCCCCGTTAAATGAATCCTGGATACGCCACTGATACCGGCTAAGGTTTATTTATATATATATATTCATTATTTTAATTTTTATATATCACTTCATCACGGTCACATTTGACACATTCCCTTCGGGATCACCATCCGGAGATGTAGTTGTGTGAATGCTACTCTATGTTGATGATGAGCTTCAAGAATAAATTATAAAAAAAATAAAAAACATGAAGAATTTAGACACCGTCGATCATCTGTGTCCGAGAGCTTTCAGTCGAGTGGTCCATAAAGGAAAACATAAAATATTGTTGGCCGGCATACTTTAATTAGTGGTTATCGCACTACTTCTGATGGGAACGGAAAAACATTGGGCACTGGTCAAACGATCACCAACAGCATGTGGATACCGCGAACCGGTTTAGGCGCACAGCCAAAATTTTGGCAAAACGAGATCGTCACAATATGCATAGATATACGGTTAATATTAAAAAATGTACAAAATTAAATATAAAATGAATATTCAATAGATAACAACGAGCGTAAAACTAAAAAATATTACACAAAACGTTTATCCTGTTAAACATCAATAATAATGAAAGATTACACTTTTTTGTATAATTCTGATGAATAATTGAATAATCAACAAATATTTAATACTTGAACAGAAATAGGTGGATTTCTTTTTTCTGTAATTATTTTTGTAGGTTAAATTGTATCATACAATAACAACAGATAGATTTAATGATTTGATCAAGTAGTTAGTAGGTAATTACTACTACTTGTTTTCTAAAATACATATTTCAAACAAATATCCTACTTATTTTTTTTCATATGAAAATATTAAACCATAGTTAGGAATTCTATTACATCAGAAATTATAATATTTCTATATGATAGCTTTACTGTTGTATGACGTTATAAAATTATCGTTATAGATTGTGATGATAGGTTGACCGTATTAAATTAATATATAATTTGTTTTTGTTTTTGTTCTTAGGTGTAGGTAGATCATGCATTTTACTGTTATTGATTCAAAAAGTTTTTTGGCGTTTTCTCGTAGCCCCCTTTCGCCTATAACTTCTTTCCATTCGATGCTTTTAGAACAAAATTGAAGCTGAGATATTAAAATAAAATATTACCAGGAAAAAATATTATTCTTATGTAAGTATCTACTCAATATTGTATGTCCAATTTTTGTATACGTTTGTTTCACCGTTGTATTTTAGAAATTTAGTTTACCTATGTAGTCACAACTTTAAATCGTATTTATAAGATATATGATTGTTTTAGTACAATATCGAATATTATCAAGATAAATTTTTATTTTAGAAATATAATTTATAATTTTACTATCGCCGTAATTGTTGAAGCGTTTTTACGTCTTCGCTGATAAGTACAACTCGAAAAATGAGAGGCATTTTTCACTCGATTAAGCCGCAGGATCAATAAACATATCACAATCAGATTATATAAGTTACGAATTACAATAAATGTTCTTAGGTTACCTACTATTTCGTGCCCATGAATTTTTGGGGATCAATGTATGTACATTCAAAATTAAAACATCGACGAACAATATTTGTGTTTGTTAATATCTCATGTGCAGAAAAATGTACGCATGAAAGTCCTTTCACATAATGGTGCAGCGTGCATAGCATATAAGTTAGGTTATATAGGTGTAATATTTCCAGTACTGGCAAGATAATACGATTTACACATACGTAATTTAGAATTTAAAAAATATTCGTTTTTAATCACTACCAGAAAATATCTGAAAAATTATGAGTCTTTTAAATTTTTAATTCTTGTATCTTAAATGTTATCATCATATGACTAATGACTTTTGTATTCAAGCGTGAATACAAAAGGGGGATATGAGGACTGAAGTCCCCCTTCTTAGACATTAGGTAGAATCATATCTGAAGTAGGTACTTGAAATATTTAAAAGTTTAGACGTAAGAAAGACTACATACAAATCAACATGCGCAACGAATTATGACAATAACTCAATTTCCTAGACCCCCTATTTTTTAATTTCTAGATCCGCGCCTGTGTGTTCTTGTAATATATTTAATGAATTAATATCAATATAATTATGGAATTAGGATGGAAAAGTGTCGATGAGCTGTTAGAACATGGGGCCAACATAACAAAAATTTTTTTCATAATTTTACCATCATTAATTATGTCCTTATATACTTGTGCTAACCTAAAAAATATTTAAGCTTATAGCTGGATAGCCGATACAGAATATTGATAATACAAAATTAAGTGTTAAGGTTATCCCCTTCGATAACAATTATTAGGATCATAACACTATTTAGCCCATTAAATATATTGTATCAATAAAATTATGTATATGGAAATCTCCAAATTGAGTCAATAACTATAAGAAAATAAATAAATATGCATAGTGTTTTGAGTTGTATTTTGTATTTGTTGAAATACTCAATACAAGTTGTATCAATTTATACATTTTTAAATTAATTAAATAAAGATCCATAAACTAATTAACTAAGTTAATTGTAAAAGTCTGGGTTGTGAAATTTTGTAACTTATTTTGTGATTTTATTTTGTGTCCATCAAAGAAAAGTATTATTATCCTATAATATACTAATAACTTGTCTGAATAAAACCATTTTACCATATTAAAATTATAGAAATTATTCGTCGTGAACTGGGTACAAGATATAAACTTAGATGAATTCAATATT